CTAGTATATGACCTTCTGAAGGGGGAGAAACAGGCTATTCAGCTGCTGTTTCTAAATTGTCATTCTTTAAATTCAAGAGCAACAACACAGTGTAACAGGCATTGTGTCCCTCAGTTAGAAGAGGAATTACGTTTGACTGTTTGTTAACTAGGATCTGTGTTTGACTTTCATGCATAGTTTCTGTCTTTTGAAACTATGAATAATAGAACATAAGTGAAAAAGTTCTTAGTTTTCCACAATTATGCATGATCATAATAGTCTCTTATCATTGTGCTCAAAGCTAATAATTAATAAGGATGTGCTTATAGCCTTGTCTTTAAAATATTTTTAATATTAAAAACGTTTTGCTTTGATACTATGTGAACATGTCATTTATTTATTATGCTTACAATTTGGATATAAAAAACATGACCTCAAAACTCCATTTCCTCCTTTGCTTCAAGTATCAAAGCAATTGTCATCTTGAAGCTTAGCTCAGGTGTAAATTTCTCTGTAGGTTTTTTTTTTTTTTTTTCCCCATACAGAAGGATTTTCCTAATCTTTCCTGCCATATCATATTAATTATACCTTAATTTAGTACTTATTTAATCAATATTATTCATTCACTCTACCAATATTTATTAGGCAATTTTATTTCAGGCATTTTGGTAACTGTTTCATTATCACTGAGGTAGGAACAATTATTTTCCTCCCAAAATTAATCTAACTGGGGGAAAGGAGATACTCAGCAAAATAGACCAAACGTACAAACCGACGTATGCAGTGCAGATGTGCTATCATGCAGGAAGGAACAGGAGCATAAAGTATGACTAACCAGCCTTGAAGGATCACAGAAAGCTTTATGGATGGAGTGACTATCTAGTCTAAAGTTTTAAGAATAGGTCAAGGTAGGCAGGTGAAGAGGTCCAAATAAAAATAATGATTCAGGCAGAACTACGTAAGCAAAGGTCCTGAGGACAGAGAGAAAGTGAGTTGAATTTGAGATATACAGTAAGTCTGAAGTGTAGTTGAAATTTGGTTGATAATGGTGATGGCATACACACATAGGGCAGATGTAGATGAAGAGTTAGGCAAAGGAAGATAATTTTATAAATTATTTTAAAGATTCCTAATATTACACAGAGGGAAAAGTATACAATGACATAATTGTGGGTAAAGGAATTACATGTTCAGATTTAACTTTTTAGTAAGATAATTCGGACTGTAGTGAAAAGAGCAGATGCAGGAGAGCCACATGGGTGTTTGACAAACCAGTTAGGAAGCTATTGCAGCCATCTCGTTTAGAGGTGATGGTGGTAGTGTGGGGGGCACAGAATGAGCCAGTCAAGTAAAGTGGGTGTGGAGAGATAGTGATAGATTTGATTTTTAGGAGGAAGAATACATAGAACTTTTGAACGGATTAGATATGTGCAATGAGTAAGAAGGTAGATAAGAATAGTGTTTAGATTTAAAGATTTGAATAGATGGAAATTATCACATAGTGAGATAAGGAAACTAGAAACAAAAAAAAAATGTTTTCTTCCTGTTTTGTAACTCTTCAAGGAAAGTCCTCAAAGACTAGTGTAATTTTTGTGGAGCATCTTAGTTTAGTTATTATAACTCTCTTTAAAAGGTTCTTATAAAAATAATGATTTCAAGAGATCCCCCAAATTAATTTAAATTTGGATAGGGTTGATATTCCTATATGTTAACAAACTTTTTTTTCAGAAAAATTTATTTCTGAACAGCAGTGGAAACATGTACCCAAATCAGAAGTAGAAGAAACAGAAATAATTAAAACCTAATAATTATGTAGTAATTACTGAGTAATATATTTAAGTAGTTCCCTACACATAATTTAAGAATATCTTTCCATCTTTCCATATGTTAAGATGGGTGACTATGTGTGATGATGAATATGTTAATTTGTTCCACTATAGTAACCATACTATATCATGTTTTATACCTTAAATATACACAATATAGTTTATTTTAAGTATGAGGAGGTGTGAAGATCATGAGACATCCTCAATACATTTGATAAGAAGACAATGAAAGTGTAGTTCTGGGTAATCACCTATTGAAAAATTATAGAAGTTTAGAACAGGCCCTTAAATGCCATCTAGGTCAATTTTACCCTACTCTTATAATACTTTGTGTGTTATAAAATGATGTGTTTGAGTACAAAGAGTTGGGTTTAATTTTATGGTATATAATTGCATGATTTCATACCAGTATCAAACATGATTTAAAACACTTCATGTCCTTACCATATGCTAGACACTATTCTAGGTGCTATATAAGTGTTAACTCATTGAATTTTTGTAACAGACTGATGAGGTGATCTTCTACAACAGTTGAAGATTCTGAGGCACAAAGGAAATTCAATAACTTTCCGGAGATCAAACATCTACACAGTTGGGAGAGGGGCTGGGATTTTAACACAGGCAGTCTGGCTCCAGAGTCCGATCTCTTGACCACTATCTATACTGCCTCTTGATGTTATAAACTTATTGGTTGTTGGGTTTGGAGAAAATTTGACTTGGTTTTCAAAGAGCTATTTTCCAAGTTACTAATTACGAGGGATGGAATAATTTTTGTTTAAATATATTTGGTAACATTCTTGTTCACATTTACGTTTGGTAATAAGAGAGCTGTACTTAGATGGTATTACTCCGAGTTCCATTGATTTAAAAGTTATTTCCTTTCAGATTAGATATGTAATATGGACTTAAAACAAGCAGTAGTTTGAGTAACTTGTTCTTCCCTTCTTTGTGAAATAAAAATAACTTTTATTGAAATTTAGAAAACATAATTATTTGCAACGATGATGAAATTTTGCTGGTTTGAATGTATATATGATCAGCAGAATAAAAATGTGTGTGCTTAACACAGATGAGCAATATTTATTAGTCGTAGGGGGATTATACTTTACCAGTACACAGAAGAATAATTCTAAGTCTATAAATGTAATGAACTATGTTCATTTGAAGATAAATGGTATAGTCCCAATATGAGAAAAACAATATGTAAAAAATGCTTATTTTTTCAGCAGATTTGAAAGTTATGAAGTTATGAATTGAATCATTTGACAGTGCTACATTTATACATATAATTGATGGAGGTCCAAAATCTCCCAACTCCTGCTCCAAAATCTATCATTATATTATGTTATTCCTTCTTAGGATAAATTAACTTTAAAATATCTTCACTTGTAGGACTTCCTATGTTGTTTACAATAGAGAGCATCTCTTAATCCTCATAGTGGACCAACTTATGACTGGGGCAAATTATATAATATGTGGGTAATGTCCTTTTAATTTTGTAGTGGGTAAGACTGTGAGTCTGATGATCTGGGTCACTCATTGTGTCACTGTTCTGAGATATTTTAGAGTTGCAAAATAATTGCTGTGTATCTCTCATACAGGAATAGTTTAGGATTAAATTACAAATTGTAGTGTTATATCTAGAAAAGGAAATTAAAACTATCCCCCAATGTCTATCCAAACACCAGAGAAATATGGTAGCTACCGTAATTGAAATATTTTACTCAATACTGTGAATTTTGATTTTTTCTTGAGAGATTTCGCTGACTAAAAACTCTCGTAACTAAAACTTTCTTGGTCAGAATCTTTATGCTCTATAGTTCTATGTGGTATGGATAATACTATTTGAAAAGAGTGATGAGGATGGAAAGTAAAATTGAATTAAAATATTTTAGGAATTTTTTTTTTGTAGCATACAGGCATTGCATTAAGGTCTTTGTATAAAGTTCCTTACACCATACCATACTGCGATTACACATCTTGTTATTTTATTTTGAGATGGTTATAATAAAATGTACGCAGTTTCATAGTTTATGAATAATCTGCATTGTCTTAGTTTATGTGTGTATATGAATTTTGCAGGTATGACTATTTACCTCATGAATAAACAGAGTGCACATTTAAATCTTCTAAAGGCCCTGGAAACAATTTAGTTATGATTCTGTTTAAATAATCAGTGAAGCCGTTTGTCCCTAAGAGAATAATGGAAAAAAATACTTGGGCAAACACACCACTCCACGCTTTCCCCCGCCCCACACACATCTATCCACCCATCGATCTGTCTGTCTATCATCTCTCTCTCTCTCTATCTCTATATCTAGATAGATAGGAAGATATACACACACATACATTTGTACATGTATGTATTCTTAGACCTACATTTTTATTCCAAGTTTATCTAGATTATGGAAATAACTACATGAATATCTTTAATTCATTTTAAAGCATTTATCTAAAATAATTATAAAATAATTAAATATATTTAGTATTAACATTAATAACAAAAGTTATGAAATATTTAAACATATTAAATATTTAGGTTGATGGTGTCCAATTTTCTTTTTCTTTTTGAGACAGAGTCTCACTCTGTCGCCCAGGTGAGTGCTGTAACGTCAGCCTAGCTCACGGCAACCTCAAACTCCTGGGCTCGAGGGATCCTCCTGCCTCAGCCTCCCGAGTAGCTGGGACTAAAGGCATGCACCACCACGTCCAACTAATTTCTTCTATTTTTTAGTAGAGAATGGGGGGGTCTCACTCTTGCTCAGGCTGGTCTTGAACTCCTGAGCACCAATGATACTCCTGCCTTGGCCTCCCAGAGTGCCAGGATTACAGGTGTGAGCCACCACACATGGCCCTAAGGGTGTCCAATTTTGTAAAACATTTAAGCAGAAAAAAGAGTATTAGTTGAAACTTCTGACTGTTGCTCAATAGGGTTTAACAATCTGCTGGAGGACATTGTCACGACAAGACCTGTTATGACTCAGGGTCTTATTTTTCCATTAATATAAAAAAAATCGCAAAGTATAAAAGATACACACCTCTGAAAAATTTGTTTTGCATCTTATTTTCTTTTACTATCATCTAATTTAAAATAATGATATTGGATTAAAATTTAGAAAATTACCCACCTCAGCCCCTTAACTGATAGAAAAGAATCTTCCAAGGATTAACTAATTGCCTGTGTATTTTGTCTAGGTGTTGAGGGAAAGCTAAGAGAATGAAGGCTCTAAACCCCCAGTGGAAGCATGATATGGCGGAGCAGAGCTGGTGCTGAATTGTTCTCTCTGATGGCTCTATGGGAGTGGATAGCACTGAGTCTCCATTGCTGGGTTTTAGCGGTTGCTGCTGTTTCGGATCAGCATGCCACAAGCCCCTTCGACTGGCTCCTCTCTGATAAGGGACCCTTCCATCGCTCACAGGAATACACAGATTTTGTGGACAGAAGCCGGCAGGGATTTAGCACGAGATACAAGATATACAGGTATGAAGCAAAGGGAAAGCAATTGCAGAGATAACATCCTTGAAAGTTGTGTATAAATAAGTTTCTCTAAGGGAAAGTTGCAGATGGGAAAGGGTTATTATTTACCATGCACCATAGCAATGTTTTCTTGCTATTTCAGAATATTTCTTGTAGATGTAATATATTATGAAAAAAATGGATAATGGCTACCACTTGTGTATCACTCCCAAATTTTAGAATGCTACATTGCCTTAAAGTGAATGCCAATGTACTAGGAGACTGAGTTTCTCACTGTAAATAGCCAAAATTTAAAAATGAATTTGCTTAAATCACTTTTCCTTTCTACCTTATACCATGCTATGTTACCTTTTTCAGCCTAAATGACAATGCTGTCTTCTACTAGTCACTGAGAAGTCAAGTCCTCTTATCCTTTTTTACCTGAAAGGTAATTGTGAATTCAGAAGCTAAAGGAAACAACAATGGAATAAAACAAATAGCAAATAAACAAGACATGATAGCAAAGACCAGAGAAAAGGAGGAGTTTAAGATATATGACCTTTAACTTTTGTCATTCTTCTATATTTGAAATCTAAATATGCTACACAAAAGGAGTCATATATTAAATCCAACAAATGCTGCCTGCTCTCCCAAAGTCCAGCGAATCCACTGAATAGAGGAGTGAGTGTGCAAGTGGTTGCCTGAATAGATTAGATTGTATTGATCTGTGCCATGAAAAATCTTTTTGGTTTGATTCTTAGCAATAGAAGTTTATTATTTCCAGTTATTGGTTTATCATTTATGTAGAAGCAAATTTTGTTGTGTATTTTTGTGTGTCTGTATCTAGGTAGATACGGTTATATAAATATTTTATTTTATGTTGTATGTGCACCAGAGGGCACTGTGCTTCAGGTCTGTATGTAGTCTTTCATACAACATTATGAGAAATTTATAAATCCTATCAGCAATGTATATTTACAGAAGAGACTGAATTTGCTGAACAAGTTGCATGAAGCATCACACAATTATTGCTGTGCTTTTTTAAAAAAATAAGAAATTCCTTAGTCCAGGCAGCCAAAGCAGTGCCACAAGTCTAAAGAAAGGATTTATTCTATTTAAAAAAAAATGAAATGAGAAATACTAAACATTGTCTTTCTGAAATGCAGCAGAAACAGTCAATATTTTATGATTCCTGGCTCATTCATTTTTATATGTGTTTGTTGGTTTGGCTAGGTTTTCCTCACAGATTCTGTGAAGCTACTTGAATTTAAAATTGTAAGAATGTCTTATATTTTAGAATTCTGCAAGAGGATTTTTAACTGTCTGTCAAACAAACGGATGCCACAGCCTGTCTCCCTAATCTATTGGCATCTCCATCTGGAGGTCTGAGGTGTTGTCTTATGTGTTAACTGTTGTGGTTTGGCTTATTGGTCAATCAGCTGTGAGTTGCAAACATGGCTTGACATGTTTTTAGAGGTTCAGGGCTGAATCAAAGACATTATTTGGATCATAACAGGGAAAGGTAATGAAAGAAAAAAAATACTTTGAGGTTTGCTTGCAAGGCTCATACATTCTGTTTAGTTTTTATGAGATTCTCTTCCTGAAGACCCTCATTAGCTCTGTGCTCCTCATTTTTCCAATGCCTTTACCTTTGTAGCTTGAATAACATATATGGATTTTAAGTCTACTTATAAAAAATAGGTTATAATGTTCCCTCTTATCCCTGAGATAGGGTATAACTTCTTATGAAAACTTTTAAACATTTCTAATGATCCTATGATCATTGACAGTTGCGATAAAATGAACAATATATAGTTGGTTGGTATGAAGTATTTGCAGAGTGGGATCATTAATTATGTTATGTCATGTGTAGCTAAATTCTAAACAATTATGATATATAATATTTCACTTACGTTAAAATATAAATATATAGTAATAAACGATGTGATTTTACATTGATGTCTACATTTCAATGCATTTGCATTTAGGAATACATATTCTTACAGATATATGTATTGGTTCTCTAATGATCTGTTATGGTAAAAAGCAAATTAAGAACACTTTAAAGTAAAGTCATATTCTACTGCATTTAGGAGGAAGACTTTTATCTGTGTTATCAAGGAAAAAATAACTACTTATTAAAGGCATCTATGATTGAGAACTACATGATTTTACTTTCATAATAAAACATTAGGAGATGAAAGATTAGTAAAAAAATAATAGTTTATTCATTAGAGTTCCTTTAGTCTTAATAAAGTAAGGTATTGCATTTATCCAATTATTACTTTCTTAAATTTCAGAGAATGACATCTACCTATCTATCCAATATAATGGATCCAAATTTTTCCACAGGACGTTAACCTTTATCTTTGAGAGGTTAGAAAATCTCAAATTCAGGGATTAGAATAGTTCTCTGTTTTTTTTTTTTATTGTTTATGTCTTTAATATTTATTTTCAAAAAGTAATTATTAGAGACTTTATTTTTCATAAATGTTTACCCTAAAATACAGAATTTGTGAATATTTAAGACACATAGAAAATTAATATTTTTTTCATATTTAAGTACTTGATTTATCATTTTATAAGATCATGTAATTTCCTAAAGTGATCAGTCAAATTCTACTAACACTTATTATTACTGTCCTAAGCACCTTCATGTGGCCTATTGCATTGACATTGTTTCTGAAAGGCATTTCTTATGAATGTAAAACATACTATGCCTGTTAAAATAATTAGGTCAAATCTCTTTCAGTTGTCTTTTTTAATTTTATCCTCTTGTCCAGCAACATATTTTTCTTTTCATCCCAAATGTTAGAACAGCAAGATCACAGCAATCAAAGATTTCTAAGATCATAAAAAGGGCTCAGATTTTAAAAATCACCATCTTATTTTGAAAAAATATGTTTTTGCTAACTAACAGGATTTATATTTGTATTTTTAAACTAATGTGTATATGAAGTATTTTCAAGTTTTACTTCTGAAACTACATTATGACTTAAAATAAAATATGATTAACTTATGCGTATGTCACTGAGTTCAAGGAATTAGAATGACAATGCTGAAATGTAACTTGTTATTTAGTCGGCTACTAAAACTTGGATTTCCAGCTATCTTTCCCTTTTATCTACAGATGGATAATAGACGCTAAGGATATGGCATTTTAAGTAAGTGTCCTCACTTTTAGAAAATGAGCTATGCCTATGACAAATTTTGTCCACTCCGAAGCATAGAATAGGAGCACATTTAGCCCCTTGATAAATTGAAGCCTTGTTTTTGTGGTTATATTCTAGAAGCACCGTCAGTCAGTAAGTCCATCAGGATATGTGTAATTTTCTTTAGGCTGTGGAAATCCTCATTCTTTAAATAAGTTACAGGAGCTCTAGGCAAGGCACGCATTTTTAGTTACTCAAACTTAGATGTTGCTGTCTTGAACCACAGATATTCTAAGGTCACAGGATGGTGATTTTCAATCCCACGAAAGAAACATTTCACATGCGTAAGTCTTCATACATGATGACACAAAACAAGTCTTTTTTTCCCCCTAACGTCTGTCACTCTTTGATGAACCACATGTATAAGTGAATCATGGGAAAATGATGATTTTCTTACAATCTTTCAAAATAAAATACAGCTCTGTCATATTATTACACCTTAGCTTGCTCTCTCACAGCAATGTTGC